GGTTTCTGCCTGAGACAGTACATCTGGGCCAAGGTAAGGTTAGTTTTCTACTTGTTAAACTGAGTGATAAGCACAAAGTTTATTTTATTTTCCTGATACTAGGGATTGAACCAAGGGTGTGCTAAGCTACCTCCTCAGACCTTTTCATTTTTATTTTAAAATAGAGTTTCCCCAAGTTGCCCAGGCTGGCCTCAAGCTTGCAATCCTCCTGCCTTAGCCTCCCAAATATCTGGGATTATAAATAGGCATACCTGCTACTATTTTTAATAGTGATAAAATGCACACATAAAATTTACTAACTTAATTTGAAACATACAATTCAGAAGTATTACGTATATTCACACTATTGTACAACCAATGTCCAGAACTTTTTCATTCTACAAAACCAAAACTCTGTATCAATTAAACAACTGCCCGCTACTCCTAGTCCCTGACAATCACCACTTTACTTTTCAGTCTCTATGAATTTGACTATTCTTGGGGCTTCCTGAGTGGAATCACTGTGTCTGTCCTTTTGTGACTGGCTATTTCACTCAGTACAGTCTCTTCAAGGTTTGGCCATATTCTACTCTGTACCATAATCTCCTTCCTTTTAGGACTGAGACTCCACTGTACAGCTACATTATTCTTTGTTTATGTATTCATCTGCCAAGGGGAACCTGGGTTGTTTCCACTTTTGACTATTGTACTACAAGTACAATACAATATTATTGTACCACAAGTTCATGTTCAAATCTTTGGATATATACCTAAAAGTGGAATTGCTGGATTACACTTTTAATTTTTTGAGGACTGCCATGCTGTTTTCCACAGAGACTATGCCAGTCACTCTACCTTCCCACCAACACTTCATAAGAGTTCCAATTTTTCTAAGTCCTCGCCAACTTAGTTTCTTCTTAACAACCATGCTAATGGGTACGAGGCCTTCTTCACGTAGTGGTGACCTTTAAAGTTTTTCTTCTTGCTTTTCGTTTCTTTCCTGAAGAAAGAAAGACAGAGACAGAAAGAGAGACAGAAAAAGGGAGGGAGGCAAAGGGAAAGAGAAGACAAAGAACAGGAGAGGAGAGAGGGAAGAGGGGAGAAAACAGAAAAGAAAAAAGTACTTCCTTTATAATGGGGAAAAATAATTGTAAAATTTTCTCACAAAGAAAAATCTCGTTCAATAATTTCTATCTCTTGGAGTAAAAAGACTTCCACGGCCAAGAACAGCAGGAGGCAGCCACTTCCCGCCCTGGACTCTTCTTAGTAACCATGGAGGAGACCCAGGGACGAGGCTACCAGCCTCTCTGTCTGGTAACAAGAGACCCTCAAGGCTGACGTGTGCTGGTATCTATCATACCCCTGTAGTCCTTCCACAGAAGTGGAGAAAACTCCCATTTCCCTGTTTCACTCAAGCAAGCACCGGCCACTGTGCCCAACAAGCTTCCCTCTTTTTTTTTTTAATCTTGCTAGACCCAGAAAAACCCTATGTATCTATAGTGCCTTTAGGCCCACTTCCCACAGTGGGGCCCTGGGCACTTAGGCAGGATTCAAGTGAGAATTTAGATCTAAAACACGAAGGGATGATTGAGCTCCTTGATGGCTGAGACTTTTTCCTCACAGCATCCCCAGCAATGGGCCTGAACCTAACAGGTTTCCAAAAGATATTAGTGCAAGGGGAGAAGAGAAACAATGGTAATTAAGAGAACTTGTGCCTGAGAAATTAAAGTAGGTCCATGTCAGGTTCACTTCATAAACATGTGGTATGAGGTGCTAGACTGTACCTCCATCCCCGCCCCCAGGTCCAGGAAACCCACTTTTGGCTAACCAAGCACTGCTTCCTCAGGCCCCTAAAGGAAGGAAAAAGATTAAGCAGTCAAATCCTATGCCTCTGATTTAAAGGTCAGTGCAGACAGAGAGGCACAGGTAGACAGACCCAAATATTGAGCACGGTTCCAAACAGTCCAAGGAACTCTTCTTACAGGGCACCTGAGGCTTTGAACTGTCTCAGAGACAACCGCGTACAAGAAGTCTCTCTCTCTCTCTCTCTGTCTGTCTGTCTGTCTCTCTCTCTCTCTCACACACACACACACACAGTGGTCTAGAAACTGAGCAGCTCTTCTGCCTGGGGAGTAAGAACAGAGTGCCAAGTACAGCGTCAAGAAGCCAGGGCTCAAGCTCCCTCACGTAAGTACTAGTACTGTGTCCAGGAACAAAGCGCCTTCCTACTTGGAGCCAGCGTTTCCATGTCACGTAGGGCCAAAGGCGCTCTCCTAAAGCACTGCAGTGACATTAGGGCCTGGGCCAGGTATGCAAACCAAAGGGGACCACAGTAAACCACTGCCCAGTGTAAGGCCCCTGTGGCTATTTACATTAATTAATTAATTTTGGTACCAGGAATCAAACTGAGGACCTTGCGCTTGCCAGGCAGGTGCTGTGCTGCTGAGCTACATCCCAGCCCCTTAAATTTAAATTATTTTCAATTAGATTACATTTTCAAAATGCAGCCCCTCAGACACACTGCCCACATTTCAAGTACCCAATAGTCACAAGTGGCTGACAGCTGCCCTGATGCCGTGCAGGAAAGTTCTTCTGCACAGCCTCATCAACTGTTAGGTTCCTCAATGGTTACTGGCTTTCCCCAAGAACGCTACGCCCACAAACTGCTGCTGGCACCAGGACACAACATGGTGGCAACTGGGAGGTTCCTCTGTGCCTGCTCATGGACCACTTCCGACCACTTCCCACAGCCCCTTGGCTCACAGAGGAAGACATGCCTGCCCAGGCCGAGCTAGGGAAGCGTGGGCCTCACTCAGGCTCAGCCTCACCCACCTCCCTCTTCTCTGGACACAGGATAAGGTTTTCCTCCTCAGAAAGGTAGGGCTCCACTGGAATGTAGCTGGAGTGAACCACAGAGGCACAAATCAACGCACCTGAAAGGCAAACTGCCTGAGTGAATAAAAAAATAGAAATGTCTCAAGCAAATGTCAAGGTGCATTAATGTCAAAGAGGCTAAGCCACTGCAGAGCCTAACCTAACCCTTTTAGTGCGACACACAGAATGTGTGGTGCGGCTGTGGGCGACGCGGCTCTTCAGAACAGCCTGCGCAGAAGAGCTGGCCCAGGCAGCTGCACATGAAGAGACTCGGTACAAACCCTGTGCCTGCCCATCCCCTCAGACCAAGAGGAAAGCAGCCAGGCGTGGTGGGCACACCTGCAATCCCAGCGCTCGGGAGGCTGAGGCAGGAGGATCGTTGAGAGTTCGAGACCAACCTGGGCTACAAAGCGAGCTCAAGGCCAGCCTGAACTGCACAGCGAGACCTTGTCTCAAAAAGACAAAAAAAAAAAAAGGGTGGCAGAGAAGGATGCAGAAGTGACCCCACAGTAACCCCATGGAACTAGCTGCCTAACAAATGCTGGTGCAGATGGTTGCAGAGCCTGGAGTAGAGAAGGTAGCAGAAAACTGTCCAACCCTGGAAGCTAAATACCCCAGGCTGCCCTGCCTCATGCTCAGACACGGATCAAATACATCTTCATATAACAGGAATTCAGAGCATAGGGCTATACTCACATTCCAATACACACGGAGAACTCAGAGATGCTCAGAGGCCCTGAGAGAGCAGCACCAAGCAGCCCAAGCAAGACAGGTGGGGCTGTCTGTGAGCTGGTCCAGGCTGGCACACAAGTAGCAGAACACACAGATACCTGCTCTGTACTTTCCTAGATGTGCAAGCGTGTCTCAAAGACGCCGGCAGGACAAGTGGCAATCTGTATGATGTGCTTGCTGCCAGTATGCTCAATTCTGGACAAGAATTCAAGTTACAGCTCAGAGTCTGATCTTCATTACAAATACTGTTGAGTCCCTAGATTTAATGGAGTGGAGAGAAAAATCAACATGTAAGCAACTATTAGTTTGCTATTTCTACCCCTCCTATTTTAGTCTAGAGACCAGCATTGTCATACCTATACAACGTTCTGCAGTGATGGAAATGCTCTCTACCTGTGCTGTCCAACTTGTAGCCATAGCCAATTATTGCTACCAAGCACCTGCAACATGGCTGTTTGAGACTGAGGAGCTGAATTTTCCATTCTATTTAATCTTAATTAATTTAAATGTAATTGTCACCAAGCATGGTAGTACCTGCCTGTAATCCCAGCACTCAGAAGGCTCAGGCAGGAGAATCACTGTTAGTTCAAGGTCAGCCTGAACTGCATAGTGAAATCCTGTCTCAAAAAAAAAAAAGAAAAGTAACTGTCACATGTTGCTAGTGGCTACTGAACTGCTAGGATAGTTCAGTCACTTAGCTCTGATGCTACAGCTGTGTTTCCAGACTCAAGAACCAAGAAAGTCAGTCCACCTACTACATGCTGTGAGCTGACAGTGTGGCACTAGGCAGGCCTTTAAATACAAAGCATGCGCCACAGTCGGCAGCCACTGATGATTCTGCCAACTTTGTGAAAATGCTGCTCTGTTCTGCTTGAGCCCCTACCCCAGATAACATTTCCCTCAGTTTTAGCATAAAGCAGATGCCAACCAGGTGTAAACAGCAGCTCAGGAAAGTGCTCTTACAGTGGAGCTGAAATCTGAGTCGGTCTGAATGTGTCATGGAACAAAGTCATTAGGAGCCATAACAGCCCTACTTCAGTTATGAGGGCCAATAATAAACCTGGGCCTCATAATGTATGGTGCTGGGCTGTCAATTAATCCAGTTCACCCCACCCAGTCATGCCACCAACTGAGTAGGAGTGGAGGTATGCCCTAGAGCCAGCTCACAGGCAAGGGCAGGTTGTGCTTCCATATCCTGCTCAGCAAGGGAAGATCTCAGGGAAGATGGACTTAAGGCAAACTCTCCCATGGTACCTGGCTAGGGCCTTACAGCAAAGGGGGCAAGCGTCAGCCTCTAGCCACACCCCAGCATCAGGAAAGAAAGCAGCTGGTGACTCTCCAACTGCAGAACCAGACACCTCCTCACTCCTGGCTGACACACATCTGTATGTGAGCAGAGCCTTGAGTTCACTGCCAAAATTGCAACCAGAACACCTATGGGGACCAGGCTGGTTAACTACAATAAGTCTGCCAGTGAAGGACACTGAACCACAAAGCACTTATTCTGACAGAAGAGTCGACCAATACCCAGCTTTGCTAGGTCTTCCTGTGAAATCTGTTGAAAACTAATTTCAGTTCTCTCAAAGGCTATTGAGGGGGATGGAAATGTGGCTCAGTGTAGAACACTTGCTTAGCATGCACGAGGTGTGGATTCCCAGCACTGCAAACAAAACAAAACAAAAGCCAGGGAGGCTCAACAAGGACGGTTCCGGCCATAAACTGGTCAGCAACTCTTGAATTAACATGTGTCTCAAGTCAAAGGAAAAGCCGGGCGTGGTGGCACACGCCTGTAATCCCAGCAATAGGGAGGCCGGGAGGCAGAGAGGCCGGGAGGCAGGATCGTTGTGAGTTCGAGACCATCCTGAGTTACAAAAAGTGAGCTCAAGGACAGCCTGAACTGCATAACGAGACTTTGTCTCAAAAGGACAAACAAACAAAAACAAAACAAATCAAGTCAAAGGAAAAGTAATTCCCAGTGTCTATTTTCCTAGAGCAGTAAAAGTTTACTTTCTTTTTTTTTTTTTTTTTTTTTTCAGTTTTTCTCCGGTACTGGGAATCGAACTCACGACCATGTGCTTGCCAGGCAGGTGCTTTGCCGCTGAGCTAAATCCCCAGCCCCAGCAGTAAAAGTTTAATGGCACGGCTCCTACGATAAGTTTGGACTTCAGTGTTTTAATGTGGAACTGAACCCAGGACCTTTGCATGGAGCTACATCCTCAACACTTTTTAAATTATTTTAATCTTTAAAAAAAAATTTTTTTTTTTAAATCCTGAGATAGGCTTTCACTGAATCGCCCAGGGGCGCTCAAACTTTCCACCCTCTTGCCTCAGCCTATCAGAGTGCTAGGATTACAGGCCTGCATCACATGCCCGGACGCCTGCACTACTTTTGAGGCATCCCCACTTGGCCCTTTCAGTTGTTTTTATCCATGAAGAACACCTCTCTCTCTGATGCTGAGCCCTCCAAGCAGTTCATTTCCTATTACTGCACAATCAGTGTCTGTGATAAAAATCTTTAAAGCGCTGGGTTTTAACGACATCTGGAAACCACGGAGGTAATTCTTTTAATGGTCTCTAAGAAATACCAGGTGGGAATTAGACAAACTCCTTGCCACTGCACTCCAAGGAAGAGGAAATGCAGGATGAACAATGCTGGATAACTGTAAGCTGAAGAATGTAAGCTGTCATAACCGCCAAAAAGGAAAAAAACCTGGGCTGGGAGAGGATAGAATCAATCACAGAAAAGGGACAACCCAGGGTCGCTGTGAGAACTTTTCTGTTTGACAACCCGTCCCCAAACAACCAAAAAAGCAAAACCAAAACTCCCCTTTCTCCTGAGCTCTTCTATGCCAATCAAACTTAGCAAATCGGACAGAATCGTTTAACGCAGGCGGCTGTACAGATACACAATCACCCCTCTTCCAAATTTCTAGTGGCTAAACAGCTTCTACTAACAAAACACGCTTCCAGGAGCAAAACTTGCGAGCTCAACACGGAAACGACCCCAGTCTGTCCCTGCGGAAACTGAGGCCCGCCCCGCAAGCAACAAGCGCCGGGCACTCTCCTGGCACTGGGCGAGGTCACGGCAAAGGACTCCCGGCCGGGAGCCCCGCACGGAAACCCCAGCCGGGCGCAGCGCCGCCCTGGCGAAAGCGCCCGGCCTCGGCCGAGAGCGCGGACGGCGGAGGGTCAGGC